CCTCCACCATCACCTTCCTATTTTTGCTCCAGACACATAATTGCTCTTCTGGGTGTATTTGTGAAGCTCTTCGTTTTAGATTCTGTTTAGTTGTACGTTGTTTTTTGAAATCCACAAGGGAAGAAGCTTGCATTTTTGTTTGTGTGTGTAACAAACACACAGCAACAGTGTGTAGCGACTTTGCGTGAAGGCTGTTTCTACAGTCACATGCAGGGAAGGCAACTGGAGTGCAGCGGAAGGAAGGATTTTCGCCTGCAGTCCCACAGAATCAGAGTCAAAGGAGAACAGAATAAAGGTCAAGTCCTCGTGCAGTCCCTAACCTCCACAGGAAGGTCCAGGCTGTCAAATGCCTCCAGGAGTCCTGGGCGCCATCCATGTATACATAGGGGTGCAGCACAGCAGTGCTTTCAAATCCCTGCAGCGCAAGCGCCAGGTCTCTGAGCCGTGCTGGCTCAGGGGGACCGCAGCCCCACTTCAAGGCAGAGCGCCTGGGTCTGCCCCAAGCTCCCTCGCTGACTGCCCGCACTGCCAACCAGAGCTGCTTTGCTGTTACCTTGATTCTCTGTCCTTAGTCACCGTCCTTTACAGGCATGGGTGTAACTGGGGTGACTGGGTGAAACTTTAAGAAAATAGAAATAACGTTTCTTCAAGTTCTTACATGCAAGGTGATACAGGTGAACTATGAATGATTATCTTAATGTTTTTCTTCCATGCAGTGATTTTGCTCAAGACCTACAAAAGGAGTTCTGTATGCCCACTGAATAGGCACCAGGCGTACATTGCTCTATATGCTTGCTTTCACATCCTGTGTGTGCTTGAAAAGACATAGTCAATGGAAGAAAGGTCACTCCTCATTTTCTCTTCTTGGTAGAAAATGACATTCCACTACCAAGAGATCCTTGCTTACACTTAGAGTTTGGCTTTGAATTCAACAGGATCTTCTCAAGTTCTGTCAACGCTCCCAGATTCCTGATGGGACCAGATTGCAAAGTGAGGACTGATCACTGATGAATCTTGAACAGGCTCGTATCTCTACCACAGTCCAGAACAAACTGAACCAACACCTGAGGCAGCTGAAAGCATGAACTGGGTCCAAATCTGGGCCAGGTACATTTCCGGTTCGAGCAGCCTAGAGTTTGGCATTATAGTCTAAATCTGCTCTGGAATTAGCCAAGGATCTGCACAGCACAGTTAAAATCCCTAACTGAGCCGGGATTAGAACTGAATTTCCCTGAATCATCCTCACAGAAACAATAGCCGATTAGTTCAGGTAAAGGAACGTCAATCTAAAACTCTATTTTATTTATTAAAGAAGAAAAATAAACAAAGCAAACAGGAAGGTAATTGCAAAGACAACTACGTGGCTTACCTTACTTTAGCATACCTGGCTCTGAAGCCTACCAGTAAATGCCCCTACAAGTAAACATTACTATCAGGAGGCATAACGCATTCTTGTGATGCTAGTTCCCAAAGCCAGGGGACTAAGGCAGGGATAAAGACTTGCTGAAGGCAGAAACACATTTCAGGGGAGGCAAGGAGATGCTTGAACATAAAAAAAAATGTTTAAAAACTAATTACGTGTTGTACAGATAAGCCATAATTGTCACACTCACAGCTCTGGGTTCCCATGTTAAAGATGAATGACTTCGGCTGTCAGCAGCTTCATTAGCCAAAAGAGGCCGTTCGGATGGACCCGAACCTATTTACTTTCCAGAGCTGGCTGTGCCTGCTTCATATTGCAGGGCCCCACACTGGTTGTTCAATGATGCTGATAACTCCTGTGGGAGCTTACATCCTGCTAAGTAGTTCACTGTTTAATTGAACTGACCTTTCCCGACGGTGCCCCTTGTATTAAAAGCTGCTTTACTCCCCAGTGAAAATGGTTTGATAATCATAATATTTTACTCAGTGGACAGTTGTTTAAGAGCAGAAAATAATCAGCTGAATTGGTAGGCTCGCCTCTGAAGGAGCCCAGCACTAAAATGACAAAAGGTGCTGCAGATCAAGATAGCTGGCAAGACTGACGATCAGGACAGAGCTAGGAGTGGGAGCTGTGCTGCTTGAGGATGGGGGATGCCAGCAAACCTGGATGGCTGGGGGAGGCGAGCGCAGGCTCAGCTGGCACAGCACACTCTGCTTCGAGCCAAGGTGAGCCGGCACAGCTTGAGCAGGGCACATGGAGACCCAGCAAGAGAAGGAGGCTCCATGCAAGTGGAGCACAGTATCGTAAACTGAGATGGGGAAATGGCTAAACACTTGCTTCTGTAATACAGGAATCCATCTTAGAGAGAGCTCTGTTGCAAATAATAAATGTATGCCAAATTCAGGTTTGGATTAGGAGCCCTTTGAGGATATTTGGAGCTGAGATTTTTGGTGTCACCTTTCTAAGCAGAGGAACCATTTACCTTCAGAGCATGAGTAGCCTTGGGACGAAGAGGTCTTAAGCGAGAGGCATGTTTGTCAGAAGCCCCCTTTCCTCCCTGTTTACCTCTAGGCCAGTTGTCTTACCAGATGGTCACGCAGCATCTGGGAGAGCTCCTTGGGGCTGGGAGCCAAGGTTGTGCAAAGAATCACATCCATGTAGACTGTTAAGCACCTGATAACAGACGATGCTTTGCTTTCAACTTATGGTTATAATGCATTCACTAGCCTGAATTATACTGTGCTCCCCTTCCCAAGTACAGCAATGTGTTCATTTCCAATTACACAGAAATGGCATTTTGTGGGTCTCCCAGGTCAGCACAAGGGCTAGAGTGCCACATCACCTTCTCCTATTTTTCCACCACAGGAGCAGCAATTTCATTTTCTCAGTTCAGCCAACCCTTTTCTTTCCTCTTAGTGTCTCAGAGCTGCAGGCATTCAAAGAATGTGCTGTTTAGTAAACTAATTTTTTTTCTTGTTCTTTATTCACAAGGACATTTCAGTTGTTTTCCTCTTTGTGCTAAAGCTACACAGGACAGGACAACACTCATATTTTCCCTCCCACAGTGGGGTATTTTGACTGGTTGTGTCCCTAGGAATGTGGGATGTGTGGGAGCTCTCATGGGCTAATGGTGCCAGGGTGCCAAGATAAGGCAGCTGGGCTACAATATTCTGCAGATTTGTGCACAACAGAGCCTCCAGGGTGGCATGGCTGACCTAGAGGGAGGTGCCAGGACAGGACCCAGGAGATTCAGAGCACAGTAGGGGGACCTACATTGGCTCCCGTGAAGTGGATGTGCAAACAAAAACATCCTCTCTCCAGGATAAGCCAGTAAAAGCCAACATTGCTCCAGCATCGCCAGGGCACTACACCCTTCAGCAGTGTCCTGTTTCTCCCTGCTTTTGTTAGACAGCCGCCTTAGCTATCTGGTCAAGCAGACAGAAACAGCTTGCTTGGCCTCTGGAGAGCTACCCGAAGTCCACTACACAAGTAGGTAACTGGGTTCACCTTCCATATTTCCCTATCCTTTTTTGGCACAGATTCAGTCTCTAAGAGGACCATAGCTGGGCCTGAGGCTCTGCCTTTGCCTCATACTTGTGTTTCCATGAACCAAAACAGATGAGTTGAGGACATCTATCAGCATAAAAATCGTCTGAAATAAAATTAACCCAAGGAGCTAAAATTGCAGTCTAACTACAAAAGCTCCAGCTTGATTTCATCAACTCCCCTTTGAACGGCAATTACATTGTGAACTGATCAGTTCAAGCCTAAATCCTCTGTGTCTTCTTCTGATTAAATACTCATTGTCTAAACATCCATCTTATTCTCAGTACTTCTACTTATCAATTTAATCAATTCCCCCATTATTCACCTATCTGCTTTAGCCTGCATTTTGCCATCATAATTTTTTCAGGTGATGCAAATTTGCAGAAGCTCTTGTTCACTATAACTGCAAAGCAAAAATTACATCTTAGCCAGAATGTCTTCATACTCCTGTGTTTCTCAGCTTTAAAAAGAACATTTAAGTTGCCAGATATTCACAGGGGATTGCCTTGAAACTTTGTGTGCATTCCTTCTGTGCTGGCCCCAAGGAGCAAGATTGCATTCAGGAAAATACAGTATTTGATGCTGGTTTGAAAAATTCATTGCCTAACCTTGTATAAGTGGTCCACAACATCTCCCCTGAGACAGAAATATTTTGTTAGTGGAGTATTTTGAAGAACCGCCTTTGAACGCCAATTTTAAAAAAAATATAAGAACAGGGATTCTTTTCATTTGCTGTTGGTTTTACTACATGCTTTTGATAAAAAGATTACAAGGAGGATATCTTTTAATTGTGTGCCTGGTAATATTTGCCAAACGGTCCCTTCTTCCTTTTTCTTTTTCAGCCTTTCTAAAATGATGTTTTCACTTTCTCAGAAGGTTATGCAGCTTTACCCTTGCTTGTAGCAGTTTTTCTCAAATTATCTGTTTTCCTAAAGGCATTTTCTGTGTACAGTTTATCTGTAAAATTTCCCTGATAAATCTGGGGCCCTTAGGAGGGAAGGATTAAGCTCACTGCATTGCCTGCTGTCCTATCATTATTCTAAGGTATTGTCTGGTGGACAAGTTTCTAGCTGTGTTGGAGGGAGCTGCTGCATTTGGGGTTTGGCGGGAGGAGGGGTGGATATAATTAGCTATAAATAAATAAATGATTAAAAAAGTGTATTAACCAGGATTTTGATATGATATCAGCCATTCTGTAAATACACCAGACTGTGGTGACAGGGAGTACAGAGAGCCAAATTGAACTTTATAGCACTCTTTCATCTTTGCTTTCTCTGAGACATGGCTCCAGCTCACTGCGCCTTGCAGACTTGTAAATTTTGGAACATTTGTTCCCAGAGGAGCATTAGCCTGTTATAACTGACAGATTCAAAGAAAATATAATTTTCCCAGCTTGAATAGATATCCTCAAAGTCACTTCAAACTGTGCGTCTCCTTTTTCTTACAAGTGAGCAGTGACAATGTGATAGTGGAATATCACAGTAACACTGAGAGTTTTATTAGCAGTAGTTCCATAAGATCAAAAACAAACCTGTGCATCTTCATATGTATATCTCCCTGGGTCTTTGACATTTTGGCTTGTTTTCTCATAGCTGTGGGAATCCAGGTTGATAGCACTTTGGGCCCCAGGAGCTAGAAACTCTTGCCAGATTTCTTCCACTCTGGTGGTTACGTCCTGTAGAGGTTGTTTCTTGAGATCTTGGACAGCCAACCAAAACCTGTACTAGGCAAAAATTAAAAGGGGAGAACAGAGAAAAAGACAGAAATCTAGGTAAGACTTTGTGGATAAGCCTCGGCAGAGTCCCAAACCACAAAGAGAGCATAACCCCGCATCTAGCAGAATTCACAGAAGACTCCGTTTAGCATGATATTGGGGAAGGTGTGATATACTTTACACCAAACCCTTACACTGTGGCTAAGATCAGAACAGCAACTTTAAGAAGTGATAGGTTCCTATTCAAACCACCAGCAGAAGTGTGACGTTAGGTATGCAAACAGGAAACCTCCAGAGCCGTGCAGTTGGAGGAGGGGAACAGGCTCTGCCTCCCACAGTTCTGCTGCAATCCGCTGGTCATTCTTGCCTGCAGGATCCAGAGAAGATGCAAAATGCAGCACAAACTTAATATTCATATAATTTCCAGGGTGAAGTTGTAACAGTGGCACTTAGAGAAATCTTTTTTTTTTTTTTCCTGCTTGTAAACTGACCAGCGTTCAGATGGCTGCCATGGGAAGAGATGAATATTGTCATGGCCATACTCCAACTTATCCAAGGTTATTTTCTTGACTGGACCACACTTATGAACTAAAATAAGTTCATAAACATTGAGAAGGTAATCTCATTGATGGCTAAGAGCACAATCCACATCTCGATATGTGAAACCAAAGGCCCCAGAATATTTTTGCATGAGTGACATGCATTGTCTTTTACCCTAAAAAAAAAAAAAAAGGTATTTTGTTGGTGGTACTGGTTTTACTTATTGTTGACAGAAATACACTCCTTCAGGTGATTAATTCAGAAGATGCATGGCCCCCAGTAGCCTTTTGTTTTGGTGAACTCTGCCTTCTAGGAAGAAGATATCCCCTGAGGCCTCTGCCCTGGGTACCCAGGTCCTGCAACCTGTCTGAACGGGTACAATAGTGCACTGTAGGGAGTGCTGAGGGCTGCAGGGCAAATAGATACAGAAGGGACCTTTGCAGCCACCTGCCATAACCAGCTCTTTCCTACCTCCATGGCAAAGGAGCCCATTGCCCAGGGATGACAAAGGCAGGTAGGGCTCACAGTGGGGACAAGATTTATCTGGGTCACTGCTTGTTCAGGGCATCTGCAAGAGCTGCACAACTTAGAAAATCCGGTGTCCCACCTTGTCATTATGGGAGACTACTAAATAAACCAGTTGCACTTTAACTGATTTCCCAACCCGAATGATTCAGTGGTGCCAGTGTGCTGCCACTAAGGCAAATGCTCCCCCCATGGTGGAAGGAGGAATATACAGTCTCTCCCACACTAAAATCCCTGCTGGAGGAGCCAGCAGCCCGGTGACTCCTGCACTGTTTCTGACCCTCACTTCCTTACCAGCTGCAGGCAGTGCCAAACTCCCCCAGAAACACTGGGGTTACTATAATCAAATGAGGCTGCTAACACATTTAGCCTGGTCCTCTACCTGCAATAGAGGGAAATGGCCAATTTAGTAAAAAAAGACATCTGCACCACATGCAAGGCCAGGCTAAATCCTCCTTGCCTGTCTCCTGCTCCTCCCCTGCCAGGAGGGGGCCTAATGCCACAGCCCTGACTCACCCAAGCCGCTTGGTTGTATTCCTCCACACGGTTTTCCCTGCTCCCTGGCAGGCTGTCAGTAAAACAGACTGGGGTACACTCAGACACTACATCAGTGCCTGTGGAGTCACATACTGGTGGTGTTCACACAGTGGTATTTGTTTTTATAAACTGCAATAGAGTATTTGGTGTTGGCGGAGGGGTGTGTACGGTTAGACCTTTTCCATCTTTGAGATGTTAAGTGTGCCTGATGTCCTGCCTTGTTATTTGAACCATAAGTGACACCCCCACTTATCATGTGCACAGAGAGAGCAAAGGGTGGCACTCACAGTGCAACCATCTGATGCCATATGCAGCTTTCTTTACTCCAAAAATATTTTATCATTCAATTTCAGATATGATGGGAACATCTGAATGCAGAAAAAGCATAGAGAGAAAAGATGCTAATCATTCCATAGTAGTTGGGACACTTCAGACAAACACTTGGCTAGAGAGGACATTTTCTGCTGGCTTATCTTCTGCCCCTGGAGCTGGGGAGGCAGGCTGGGAAAGCACGCTTGTGAGAGAACCAGGCGCGCTGTGAAGTGACAGCTTGCCAGAACAAGAGCACCATCCATTTTAATAACCATTTGGCTCAATCTAAAAACCAACCAACCAGACCAACCTGACACTAACAAGAACAAGCTCTTTTTACTGCAAGTGATTGTGAATTCATGCCCAAGGCTGGATGTCCTCTTCAAGGCAAAGAGGAGTTTTGTCTTGGTAAAACTTTCAAAGATATTCACTATAGCTGGTATCTGAAAATCAAGGAACATCAAAGAGGGGTACCCAGCCCCGCAGCCTCAACTCCAAGGCAAATTCTCTGCTACAAGGAATCATCCTGAAGCCAATGCATAAGCAGGGCTTCCTACAGGATTTATACAGCATTTACAAGAGAAGCAGGTATTTCTGCCCAGGAAAGGAACAGACACATGATGGCTGTGCTGGAATTTGTGCTCAATTATAAAGTGAAAACTGAGTCAGTCCCACAATTTCTGAAGCACGAGTCCAGTCCCAAGTTCGCAAGGAGTCAGGAGAAGAACCCGCATTGCCTTCTTCCTTTCTCTGGGAGGCAGATCTCCAGTGGACACCTCTTGCACAGGGCAGGGGAGGAGGGAGATGTCCTCGTGTGTCCTCTCTGCAGGTGCCCTGTAAGCAGAGCAGGACTGGCACAGGGACTGTCTGCACAGCAGGAACAGCAGCATTGATCACAGGTTCTTTGCCCTTTATAAAACAGCATGTAAGATCTGGAGAAGGCTGATAACATGGTGTCCTAAACTGCTGTCAGAAGCATAAACCATTCCAGCCTCATCCAGCTTGTAATTAAGCTGCTGTCTCTTGCAGGAGATATCCCATAACGGAGCTTTATCCTATGCAGCCCCCTCAAGGCACAGAGAGCTCCTGGGCCTCAGCATGCCTGCTGTGCCTCCCCGCAGGGCACTGCGGAGGTGATCCATCACTGTGGGCTGCTGTTCGCAGATGCCCCTCGGTAAAAAGACTGCTGGAGAAGGACAGCACGTTGCTTCTGAGTTATGTTGTAAAACAAAAAATAATTTTAAAGCCTGATCGAGAGGCAAAATATGGATGACTCCAGAGAGGAGGAGGTCTGAGGAATGACTATCAATGTAAGGACAGTTTTGTATCCCCATCTTGGGGGAGGACATGATACCCCTGGCTTGACAGTGAAATCAACAAGTGACTGTCCGAGTTCGGAATACGAGCATGCTCTTCTCCTTGCCTCAGTAGCTCCATGTAAGTATCCAGCACACCTCCCACCTCGCATCTCTCACCGTTCACAATCTTGTTCTCACTCACTTTCACCAAGAGAAGAAATATCATTTTAACATCACAGTTGGGAGGGGAAATGAATGAAAGTAACAGGTATAAATCAACGCGCAGCTCAGACAGGGGAGAAGATTTACAACTTTGTGTTGCTTAACAGCCAGACCCTCGGAACGGTGAGCTCGGCATGGCCAAGGCCTGCAGAAACCCGCCCTCCGTGGGGCACGGTGGGGACAGGTGACTGCAGCGAGGCTGCGTGCTGAGGGCACGATCCGTCACGGACGCAGCACTTCCACGGAGACCACAGTGTGAAGGAGGGCAAGCTTCCCGCCGCCCGGCTGGCCTCCCCCTCACCATCCTTCCTCCTCTCGCCTCGACCAAGCTGCGCACCCCACGTCCCAGCTCCAAGTCCCTCTTCCTGGTGCCTTCGAGTTTTCTGGGGCAGGAAACGTCTCCGGGTAGTTAAACAGCACCCGGTCGTTCGCCAGCGAGTAAACAAGATGCCGGTTTCCTCACGACTGACAGCCGGCGCGGCGAGACGCGGGCATCTCGCTCCCGCCTCCTCGAGGAGCACCGGCGGCCTCCCCTC